TGCGCAGAGGAATTGCATTGTTTTGGAGCAAACAGGGAGCAGTGGAGTAGAAATCAGTCATGAATCATCAAGGAATGCCGGTGAGAAGCACTTGGAATAGCGGAAGGATGGAGTCTCAACAAACCTACTGAAGTTCATAGCTTGGGTGAGAATCAGGATGTCGTTGCACCTTAAATCTATGCACAGATGTCCCAGGTTATCCCCTTGTTATGATTGATCATCAAGACTCTCCAACCGTTGGACCAGATGCATCAAACCGGGTGAAGAATAAGCTGAAGAAACCAATATCCTCTGATATCGGCACCCACCGATGAGGAAGACCGATATATTGCGCCCATCGAGAAGCTGGCGTCATGACACGAGAGCTGTTGGACGCGCTGGATTGGCAACAGAAATCGATCACTTCCCTGATATGGAGTGACCGATATTTAATGCATTTTGTTGACTTTTCGGAGTCGACCATTGACTCGAGCTGGATGATCCGTTTATCTTTCGGGTCGACCCGGGTACTGTTATGAGGAGCTATAAATATGTTCTTAGCCCTTGAAAAACTTAAGTCTTCTTCATTTTTTCTTTCCTTTTACGTTTTTAAGCTTTCCACTTACGTTTGAGTTGTAATCGACCCTTAGAGCATCAGATCTTTGATGTTCTAAGTTATTTTCTTTATAAAGTTTTAGTCTTTAGCTTAAAGTTTCAATCTTTACTTGTTAATCGCACTTATCTTTGCATAACATCATTCGCACCTCACTCGAGCTCAATCATGGTTTTTCCCGTAGCCATAAGTGCGTAGTCCACTCATCGAGTGTCGGGCTAGTAGATGTAGGAGCTTTAGAGGTCGGCTAATCTAGCTTCGGCTTAAGCATTACGTTTCTCGAGCTTATGTTGAGTTTAATGCTTGGTTCTCGGTTACGGCCTTGAGCCTTGCGTGGAGGCATTCTGCTGCCAGAAAGGTGTTTGATGGAATGCCGGACTGACCATTTACTCGGTTTAACGACCCCTGGCCATGAAAGTATTGTTAGGAGAGCTAAGTGAGCTTATTGGGACTTGATCTTAATGCTTGGAGAGTACTTGTATCTAGCAGCAAAAGTTAGTTAGATGTTTGTACTCAACAAAGTAATCAGTAGCATCACGAAAGTGGGATGATTACTCTTCGTGTTTCATGCTTAAGAGTTGAGCTTTAAACGAAAGTCCTTAGCTTTATTAGCCGCACTTTATCGCTCCTTATCAGTTGCTAGTCCGATACTTGGTGTTTTCCATTATCATTGCATTTGCTTTCAAGTCTCTGTTTTGCGCATTTCTAGTTTAGTTACATTTCTGCTTAGTTTAGTACAACCAAACCAAACCCTTATTGATGCTTTAGCTTAATGAAAGTTCTTCATGGTCTAGTACTTTGAGTCCTTGTCTTCCCTGTGTTCGAACCCTTTCACTTGCTGCAATTGAATCATGAGTTAAGTTGCTAGCTTTGTTAGGTTTTATTTGATAAGTTAATTTGCTTATAATTGGCAAAACCACTCTCATCATGCATTCACTCTCTTTGTTGGTTGTTGTGCTCTCTGGTTACATAAAATGTGGTTCACTCTTATCTTGTATTAACTATTAAGATTGTTACTAGCTTTAGTCTAGTCTATGTTGTTGTTATGGCTCAGTCCCATTTGTTAGCATTAACAGTTCTTATTACTCATTCATGGAGTCCTCTGGTCTCCTAATTTGCCTTCTTTTATTGAAAGGCATTGTTACATGGAGTACATTTCTGGTTGCGATCACTAGTTGGTCAAAGCGTTGGTCTCATTCTTCGACAACTCGAGACTTCAAAATGCTGGTTTTGAGTGTGAAAGCTCTAGCTTTGAACACGGCTATATTAGAAGCTAATCGTTTAAGAATAAGAAGATTATATGACTTCTTTGATTGCAAGATGCTTTGTTTACACTTCACGGCATGATGTTAACCTTTGGAGTTCAAAGATCTTCTACAAGATGTTAGAAGTATTTGTGGTTAGTATGACTCTGTTGCCTTTTTATGCTTGTCATTCTAGCAATATATTTACTCATGTTTTTTTTTAACATCTAACTGTTTATTTATATAAAATCCAAAATTACATAACACATACAGAATATAAAAAAATTACAACCAATCACATAACTAAAATTTTGGAAAACAAAGGAAGTGAATGATACTTTTCGCCAAAAAGTTTTACTCGTTAACAGAATATCAACTTTGTGATCCTTCTACTTATTCGCATTCGACTCGATGCGATCTTTCATATTAGTTCAAAGATCTTCTACAAGATTTTAGAAGTATTTGTGGTTAGTATGACTATGTTGCCTTTTTATGCTTGTCATTCAAGTAATATATTTACCCTTCTTTTTTTTAA